CCACATCTTCTTTATCCATTCATCTTTCGATGGACACCGAGGCTCCTTCCACAGTTTGGCTATTGTGGACATTGCTGCTAGAAACATCGGGGTGCAGGTGTCCCGGCGTTTCATTGCATCTGAATCTTTGCCACCCATGGTTTAATTGAGGTATTAATTAGCATGTAGACTGGTCTATGCCCCCATCCTAAATCCTCAATTAATATAACTTGAACATGTAGTATCTGGTATAGAGCCTGCAAAATAGTAGACATTCAGTAAGTGGCATCTGACTGTTCTTATTTGCTTTCAAACAATGCTGAGTAACAGCAGCCTCCCAAAGAAACTTTACATGGCTTTTCAGAAATTTGGTCACCGGCTATTGGATTGTAAATGTGAGCAATAATGTCATTGTCATTCTCAGGGACAAGCCGTTTCTGATACATAGTAGGTATTAAATATTTGAAGGATTATTGAATGGTCAGTGATGCGGGCTTCTGAGAATCACAGAAAGAAAATGCTGGTAAAGGGGCATTTACCTTTCAGAAGAAATGGCATGCACAATGATTGCCCCACTTTCTTTTAGAGTCCTCTCACTGCTCTTTTAGAAAACAAAACAATGAATAGTATGGTCCTTTTTTTGAACAGCTTGAAAGACTTGAGGACCAGAGAGTTTTGAATTGTAAGTAATAAGATCAATTCATGTTTTACCAAAATCACACCATGCTCTGCCTGTCTCATCTCTGATGGGCCACGATGCACAGGTGCCTCAGGGACAGAAGGGGAAAGACTTAAGAATTAGTTTAACAGTTCAAGTTCATGGGGCCCCTGGGTGGCTCAGTAGTTGAGCATCTGCCTTGGGCTCAGGTCATGATCCCGGGGTCCTGGGATTGAGTCCTGCATTGGGCTCCTTGCAGGGAGCCTGCTTCTCCCTCTGCCTGTGTCTCTGTGTGTCTCTCATGGATAAATAAAATCTTTTTTTTTTAAATTTATTTATGATAGAGAGAGAGAGAGAGAGGCAGAGACACAGGCAGAGGGAGAAGCAGGCTCCATGCACCAGGAGCCCGACGTGGGATTCAATCCCGGGTCTCCAGGATCGCGCCCTGGGCCAAAGGCAGGCGCTAAACCGCTGCGCCACCCAGGGATCCCGGATAAATAAAATCTTAAAAAAAAAAAAAAAAAAGAATTGAATTTATAAAATTGTAGGTCATGAAATCATAACCTTCATAGCAGTTTGTACTGATCACTTTACCTAGATTACATCACTGATTATTCAATAATCCCTCGCATATTTTTTTTAGCATCATACAAGGTAATTTTTATACATTTTCATTGCCAATTAAATCATGAGATCAGGAATTTTTATCTGTTTCATAAAAGAGATGTCATGGGCACGGACTTCTTCAAGGCCTCATAATAAATGGAGAGGCTGATGCAGAATTCCATTCCTTAAGAAAAAAAAAAAAAAAGCTTTACCTAGCTGTAATTCACATATGACAGTTTACCTATTTAAAGTGTACAAGTCAGTGGGCTTTAGCATATTCAGTGTGTATCTCATTTATTTTTGAAGTTATGTACTCATTTGTTTCACCCAATGCTTAAGGCAGCTTTTTTCCTAAGGTTGGTAAAAACTAATTTCTCAGAATGATTTAAGTGGAACCTTACTTGCACACGGTTAGTTTACAGGTTAAGTTTGAGCCAAACTCTGGTCTGAATCCCAGCTCCTGCATACTGTGTGATCTTGTACATGTTCCTTAACCAATCTGTGTGCTTCAGTTTCATTCATTGCAAAAAAAGGGTAATAATTAAAGGAGTGAACTCACTTCCAGTACTTAGAATACTGCCGGATACATATTAAGTGCTCAATAAATGTTAGCTATTATTATTAAAAGCACAATAGATCCTCCTGGCAGTTCTTGAGTATTGCAGAATTCTAAAATAGCTTCTGCATCATGTAAATCGTGGTCAGTGAAAAGTATTTACCGTATTCTAATCCTTTGCAAATTGATGATCTATGGAGTGTCAACACTTTACTGATAAAAATTCTTTTATAAACTATTTGGTATTCAGAAGGTATTTTCCCATTTAAATATTACTGTGAGAGGTACCTAGCTGCCTGCCTAGGATCCCATCTTTCCTTCTTTATCATTGACAGAGCACCGATTTTATTCTGGATGACAATATGTGGGCCAACGGATTATGTTTCTGGCCTTCTTCTCAGCTGGGATGGCCAGAGATGTAAACAGATTATTGCTGAATGGGGCTTCCAGGAAAGGTCCTTCGGTTGTCTCAACTGGGAGAAGACATTTTGCCCTTCCTCTCTTCCTCCTTCTCTGGGTCTTGATCATGGATGTGATGTCTGGTGCTCTGGTAGCCATCTTGGACTAGAAGTTGAACTTGAGAAATGGAACGACTTGTTCAGGATGGAGCAGAAAGATGGGAGCTGGATGGATGCCTTATACCAATTGTGAACTGTCTTCTTTCACATGAGAGGAAAACAAACCACTTTACTTGATTTTTCTGCTACCTACAGCTGTATGTAATGAATTGAATGAATTGCAATTCATCCTTATACTTTCCTTGGCCATTGCAAAATGGCCTTAGTACTATACTTTTTTTTTTTTTTAAAGATTTTATTTATCCGTTCATGAGAGACAGAGGCAGAGACATAGGCAGAGGGAGAAGCAGGCTCCATGCAGGGAGCCCGATGTGGGACTCAATCCCGGGTTTCCAGGATTACGCCCTGGGCCGAAGGCAGAGCTAAACCGCTGAGCCACCTGGGCTGCCCTACTATATTCTTTTGACAAACATACGCTAAGCATCTGTGGTTGCATGCCAGCCATTATTTTGAGGGCTGATATGTAAGGGAAGAGTCTCTGCGCTCAAAGAATCAACAGTCTGGTAGAAGAGACAAATCATCATAGTGTACAATGACATCAAGGGCCAGAATCAGGGGTAGGAAGAGATGGGTTGGTCAGGATAGACCTGACTTTCACATGGACATGACACAGTTGAAGAGTATCAGGTGAGAAGGGAAGGGCATTTCTGGCACAGAAGGACCTGACAAATGAACCATGATGCAATGCAACATTTCTACATTAGATGCTGAGAACATTATCTAGCTGCTGCTTCAGGAGCTAGGTCTTTACATTTCTGCAATACTGTCATCCTTGTAAGTTACAAGTTAGTGACAAGAATTAGCTAACACCAGGTAATGTCTGTGGAAGCAATACTGTGTACTTGCATAAAGGCAATGACCAGCGGTTGTAAAGATACTTAAACTCACAAGATAGACATGGGGAGAGGGGACATTTGGCAAAGAGGTAGACAGGTGTGTCATCTTACCCTTTCCTAAACCTGACCTAACCTGAAGGAAAGGAAATGGCTGGAAAGGAAAAGCTTGGCAGTTCATCTGTCATCCATCCTGTCTGTCCTGCTTACCTCCCCCAGCAGTCCTCTGGGCAGAGAAGGAAGTGTTAGGGGAAGGAAGAATTTGCAGCAGTAAAACATGACATGCATGTTGTAGTAGACCAAGCTGGGGCAGTGTTTTTGCATGAAAAGTCAGACTGGGTCTGCCTCTATGACACACATTCTAACTCCCAAGACTAGAATCCTCTGGTCTCAGTGTGCAAATACAAATTTACAGTTTCTCATTTTAAAGGCTATATTATAAAATTAAATATGCTCCCAAGGGCAATGAATTATGAGGTCTAATCCTATAAAAATTGTCCTATTACAAAATAATCACACACACAGTTGGTCTCTTAAATCTGACTTAGTTACATAAAATGGGAAGGGGAGGATCTTACAGAAAAAACTTTACTGATAGACATGGACTCTGTTAGGCTTTTCCCATATATATTATCTCATTTTAGTTTTATAGGTTAAGGAATACGGTTAACTGATTTGCTCAAGGTCATATAGCTAGTGATAAAAGCAGAACTCAACCAAAGGGCTGTATATTTCCCCAAACTGTTTTTTTCACTTGACCTTTGAACTGTATACTATTTCGATTCACCATCAGCATCAAAGTAGTAGTATGAAACAGTAAAACACTCAAAGGCTCTTTTTTTTTTTTAAAGATTTTATTTATTTATTTGAGAGAGAGTGTGCACGAGAGAGCACGGGGAGAGAGAGAGGGCGAGCACGTGAGGCAGCATGAACTAAAGGGCCGCAGCGGAGAGGGACAAGTTGACTCGGAGGGAGCTGGATGCATGACCTGAGCTAAAGGCAGACACTTAACCACTTAACCCACTGAGCCACCCAGGCACCCCTAAAAGGCTCTATTTTTCTTATTATTTGGAAATATAAGCTCTTTAGCTCTCAATCACTTATTTACTCAGTAAGTTGTAAGATGTATAGATTTGCTAATAACACCTCTTTGTTCTTTATTGTGTTTCGGCAGCAGCCCTGAGTTGGCTTTTAGTTTAGAAGCCAGTTTAGTTTAGAAAGATCTAGTAATTGTCAAGTCTAAAGCTAGTGGGATAGCAGGAATTTCCCATCTTGTTTTTAGCCACTTCTATTCCAATAAGCCCAACAACAACAAAAGAACCATTAACTCCACTGAATGTATCTTATTCCAGCTCCCTCCAGGGCAGTTTAGTAGTTAGTTTCACCTCAATGAATACTGACTACAGGAAAGAAAGAAACAAAAAAAAAAAAAAAAAGATTTTTTTCAACCACATTTACTGGCTCACATAAATATTTGAAAACAAATCCATCTGTCTTCCCTTTCTGTATCCTTGGCACAATTTATTATAGTCCTTAATAAACAAATTACTGTAAATATCCATAAGGGGAAAATGAATTTTAAAATATGAGAGGGAGGTCGATAAACAGCCAAATATGTCAGCTACTGAAAGGACTATTTTTTCCTTAAGATTAAGCCATTGATTTGCAAGTTTTACTAAAATAAATTTCATCTATTAAAAAAAGGTTAATTTATAACTTGATCTTGACTCAAGTTTTGACAGTTGAATTTTTACATAAAAGCTGCAAAATTTCAACTAGAGAACAAGTAAAACATTCGGACATAAGTTTATTCCATCAACTTCAGCAAATAAAGAATGACTGTGATTCAATTTACATTGGCTCTCTGGTCCAGAATACACTTTCCATTTTAAATATTTGTGATCACGCTTCTGTATGTTATGGATAGCTTCTAGAGAGAATTAGTATATAGTCTGTTCTTGAGGAAGACAACAACGGACAGATGTTGCCTGATTCCTGGATAATGTTGAATGTGACAAAACCAGCGAGACACATTAAGATATTTCTCCTTTTCTTGAACTGTGAGGTCAACCTAAATAGAGATTAAAAACACACACAACACAGACAGTGCGTAAGAATAATTATCAGTATCATTTGCGTAGAAGATAAACACTCAAGAAAAGCCAACATATTTAGATGGGAGCAAAAAGTTTCAGCCAGTTAGAAGAGCCATTTGTTTAATGCTTTTATGTTCTGTTCAACACCAGACACGCTTTTTAGAAAAGTCTCGGATTTTCAACAAATGCAAAAATTACATTAACCCAGGATCTGGAGGTCCAAACAACACAGGACTTGTGTTTCCTTTGTGCCCCAGGTTCTTGGTCCTGCTGCTCTGAAGAAGGAAGAGGTGGACCAGACGAAGAGTGGTGGGCAGCAAAGCAAGGTGTATTGAGCAAGAGTATAAAGCTCCTGGAGAGGGAGGGGGGCAGAGTAGGCTGCCCCAGGAGTTTCTAAGTTTAGGGGTTTTAATAAGCTCTTTTGGAGAACTATCTTAAGCAATCAGGGTGTGCTGAGTCATGCCAATGGGGGCTTTGGTCACATATCTGTTGACCTATTAGGTTAATGTCCATGTGCTGATGGTCTTTTCTTGTTCACATTTGTGGGCTCAGGTCTTAACTGCCTCTTGCCTGTGATACTGACAAATGCATTTGTGGTTCATTGTCTTATTTTAGGACGTTTTGAAGAAGTCATTTCTGCAAAGGCTGCAGAGCAGAATGTCAGTGCAGTTTTATCTTAGCTGTCCTGACTCCGTATTTTCCTGTTGGGGAGCCTGGCCCCGACTACCTGTCTAACTTCTAATACAAAGAGCTTGTTTTTTATTTTTTGGAAAGGAAAATTTATATTTTCCTTTATATTTCAAAAGGAGAAAGGAAGAGAAGAGCTTCCAAAAGGCTAAGACATTGGTTCTTTCTACAACATTTTTTAGCAAACGTAAAAGCAAGGTTAGGATCTAACACTCTTAACAAGACAATACTATGTAAACTCATATACATACATTTTATAATTATATATATATTTATATATAAACTTTATAATATTTTATAAGGACTTAAACCTGAAACTTATCCCCATTCTTTACTTCCCCCCCCAAAAAAAAACTTAGTTTTTTATATGTATATAAATAAAACTTCCTTTCTATTAAATTCTGGGAAAAAACTACTCAAGACAATGACTCACTTAATTTGAAGAGATTATTGCCTAACAAGAAGGAAGAGCTGGCTATTTCCAGTGGCACATGCCTCAGATGAACAACAGATCTTCTCAACTGGGTTTGCTAAAAAGCTGAACTCTATCTCCAGTGGATGTTGTAAGTCACACAATTTCCTGTCAAGCTACAAGAATGCCCAGAGATTTGGTTAGAGAAAGGTGCAATAAAAACAGTTGGTACCTATTATTTTACTGGGCTTTAAGTCCAGAGTAGGTGATTCAGAGATTTGGACTGGAATCATAGAGAGCTGTCAGGTAAGAGAGAGCCAGTGGGACAGTAACTACCAGCTATGACCCGTGTTTAAAAGTCGTATAGTTATCTCCTTTTTCTGTTGTTAAAGCAACATTTATTCAACAGACATTGCAAGTCTCTGTAAAACTGACTGGAATATTTACACAAGGAAGAAAAAACCCCTCCTGTGATTCAAACCCATTAGTAGCCTGCTTGATGGAAGGAGGTTTAGTGAGATAGATGTCCTGTGGCTGGTCAGAATTGAGCATACTTGTGTCTACAGGCAAATATTCTGCTGTTACTGGGTCAACAAAACTGAAGGACAAACCACCATGGTACACAAAATGTGTTGCAGAATACAAAATAATATTAATAAAATTCAAAGGTAGACACACAGTATTTTCTCAAAAAATCTTTCATTGAACTCCTATTCCCAGTTAATGTTTACTATAAGGCAATTTAAAAAGAAAAACTGATGCAAATAATCCTGCTTTCCTTAGATAGGAGGAAAAATTTCCTTTTATCTCTGATAGGAGGATACTATTGTATCAATATCTTATCTTTTAACATTGTCTTTGATGGCCTCAGACATCCAACTCTGCTGGCTCAGTTTACTTAAATTTTTAGCAGGAGAGTCTCCTACTTCTGCTACCTAAAAATTTTAAGTTTCAGGTTTAAGTTCTTACTTGTAAGTGCTACACATATTATGAAAATATACTCATCTCCTTTAAGGCTGTGTAAGATTGCATCTAGTTATCAGGAATATATTACTGTAACTGTTTCACCTACAATATTGTTAGTCTATGGCATGGAAATAGAAAATTAACACAGTAGTCAAGAAAACTGGTCAAAAACTGGTCTTTTTTGATATAAAAGTTATTTTTTATTAGAGAATTCATGGCTTTCACATGTGAAGAATTACCTTATGCCTAACTGTCTGGTCTGTACACAGGAGGCAAATAACCATTGCAGAATAAACTGAGTATCAGTTTATATTTCAAAAGGTAAAACACATTTTATAAAAGAGCTTCATTCTTTTTCTAAATCTTTCCCATATGTGAACTTCACCACTGACTTCAAAAGAAGATGTAAGATTTTTAAAAAGCTCAACCACTAGTAAACATAGCTACAAATCTAATGGGAAATAGGGGCTGAGTTTTCTTCACTCACACACATACATACATACATTCGAAATCAACTTCAGCAAACCTCTTTCCCAATTATAAGGGAACAGTAAGTTTCACTCTCAAACTGATTTCATGTCAGTTGCTGCAATACAGGATTCATATCTGACCATTTTCTACAATTTACTCTTTTCAAAACTCTTCATTTAAAAGTCTCTATTCAGCCACTTTGTGAGATGTTATTTTTCTGAATGAATTAAAATACACTGAAAAGAAAGCATTTCCAGACAATATAGCACTAATGCTTGTTTGATCTTTGTGCAGGTTGGTCACTCAGACTCTGGATCTGAGTCAAAGGGCAGTGTCTGCTTACTATTCATATTTCAGAGCAGAAGACTAGTTATAATGCTGCTACTTGGCCTATTATTTAAAATAGCAAAAACAACAGTAAGATACAACACACAGCAAAATCGATATTCTCCAACTTAAAAATTTCACATTTAGAGTCTTTAGTATAAAGGGTTACGAGTAGACTCATGGCACGAAATAAATTTTTTTTAAATTTTTGGGGTGTACAAAGTAAGTTAAGGTTTGTTTGTTTATTTATTCATTTAAATATTTATTTATTCATGAGAGAGAGAGGCAGAGACACAGGCAGAGGGAGAAGCAGGCTCCATGCAGTGAGCCCAACGTGGGACCCGATCCCGCTAAACCACTGCGCCACCGGGGCTGCCCCAGGTTTATTTATTTTAGAGAGAGCAAGTGAGTGTGGCGGGGACACACACACACACACACACACTCTCTCTCTCTCTCCAGCAGGCTTCCTGCTGGGCATGGAACCTGGATGCAGAGCTCACTCCTAGGACCCTGAGATCATGACCTGAGCTGAAAGCAAGAGTTGGACACTTAACAGACTGAGCCACTCAGGCACAAAATAATTTTTATTCCAAGAGCTTCTAAAGCTTCTTCTAACATTTCCAATTTATTACAATAATTTTTAACTAGATGATGTATTTCAGAAAATGTAAATCTGTTCATTTTCCCTCAGAAAATTTTGCCAGAAATACACAAGAGTTTTTCCAAAAGGATCAGGTGACCACTTACTTTTTAGTTTAAATTGGAGCTTGTCCCTTGAATCTGAGAAAATTAGGACTGATCTCTATTTGTTATCTCTGCTACATTTTTGGTAGATGTTCTATTTCTGACCTTACTGTAAACAAAGAAAAAACAGATTACCATTCCCTACTCCCTCCCCCCAAAAAACCTTACAGTTTTTTTTTAGAACTTCCCAGATAGGATCCCCTGGGCCCTTTCACTTGCAACACTGGTTTTCCAGCATCCCTCTCTACTGGGCTAGTTTCTTTTCCTTTCTTGCAACAGGAGACACAGTGCGACTTTCCAGTCACCATTTCCTGCTTCTTACTGGCCTCCGTGCTACTGTGTCTGCAGCGATGAAGCTTGGATCTTTCTAACTAATCATCCTTTCTTATTTATATTGGCTCTCTACACCTAGTCTGAACCTTTAAAGCCAAACAGATAATACTCTTAGTCATTAATTTTCCATGGAGACACCACTTTAAGTGACCCATTCCAGATCAGGGTGAAAGGCTGGTCTGCTCCCTTCCGGACATTCTTTACGGCTGGTGCTCCTGGACTGCACTGCAGCTGCTTCTTGTACTTTTCTTTCTTTCTAAAAGAACGACATATCCCCACTGGTGTTCCAAACTTCAAAACAAATGTATTTTAGTTGATAACTATCTCAGAGTCAAGCGGCACATCATGCTACAAAGGATTTCAATAATTGTGAGTAACAGCCTGTTCACAGGGACCGCTATCTACGGGTGAAATCACTCTCAGAAAGCAATGAGTCAGTGGGTAGGATAATAAACAGCCAGCCACATTAACTGGCAATTTCACAAAGGAAGAACAATGTAATATTCTCAAAGAAAATTAAGATAGAGCAGATCTGAAAATTAGAGTAACTTAGCCACAACTAAAATTGGGCTCCAAATGAAACAAAATACTGTGGGATTATCTGATGACTTGAAGGTTCCCTGACTGCTGTCTTGTGCACGGTACTGATTACTTATTAAGTATTTGTTTTAAAGATTTTATTTATTTATTGAAAGAGAGAGAGAGAGAGAGACCATGAGGAGGGAGAAGGGGTAGAAGGAGAAGCAGACTCCCCACTGAACAAGGAACCTGACGTGGGACTCGATCCCAGGACTCTGGGATCATGACCTGAGCCAAAGGCAGATGCTTAACTGACTGAGCCACCCAGGCGGCCTGATTACATTTTAAGTATTTAATAGCAGGAACAAATAAATGAAGGAATGCATGAGGGCAAAAATAAATATACTGCCAAAGCAAACAGAGCATAAGAAACTGTCTGATGAATGTGAGCAGGTAACCAATCTGAGCTTCACATCTACTCTGCCTAAATTTAATACCGAATAATCACCTTTTTCT